GTTTGGATCAGAAGCTAATTGTAATTCATTTGAATCCAATTGAGTTTAAAAATTTAGGACAATATCGACAAAACGGTTTGTTATTTAGTTTTATAATCATTTGTTTATGTTTTTACTTATTTTTATTTTTTATTTAGTTTTGATTTTGAATGGTTTTAATCTGAAATGGGAGCGAATTATTGCCCAATTTTTTAAATGATAACTTTTATACAATTTTCCTCAACATTTTAAATCAAAATTCAAAATAAACTCAATATTATTTTAATTACCGGTACTTTTATCTTAAATTTTAAATTCTGGAGATATTTATAAGAATCAAACAAATGCTTAATTATTCATGTTTTGCTTTATTGCTATTTAGGAATTATTTGATAACTTATTGTTAATTATGACAAATGTTTATGATATAAGAAAAATTTGTATTTTCAATAAAAATTACTATCATATAATATGGTATCAATAAATTGCTTATACGGTATAACACTATTTAGTATCTGTTTTTGTATCAGTTTTTGAGTCTTTGTCTCGTTTTCCATCAAATTCATCAGAACTGGTGACCCATTGGCACTGTACCAGCGTTTTCATATCTAATCGTTTGTTTTTGTCGTGCTCTAAGAGGCCGTCCAACACTGTAAGACATTCAGCGCTCAATTTATTGGTCAAAATGTTTGGGGTATAGCCTTCTCTCGTGGCTTTAATGATGGCCAGCAGTGCCGTGGCTTTGAGTTTCTTATCCTTTTCATCCTTAGAATCACAATCAAAGGGTTTCTCATTGATGAGCAAGTTTATGTCTGTCTGAGGTTCGCGGGTTGTCAGCAGAGAGTACCCCAGTATGCGAAACTGACTGAAATTCTCCAGGAAGACAGGGTCTAACTGCCGATATTTGTGAAACTCCCGAAGGCCGCTGTATATAGACACTGTTCCCGACGCCCTGTCGTTCTTTATCAGTCCATCGCGCCGCCTATACACCACTCGAGCGCACCCGAAGTCTGTCAATTTTATCACCTCTTTCTTACCATTCTTAGTGATCAACATGTTTTCTAATTTCAAGTCCCCGTGAGTTATGGCTAATCCGTGCATATATGACAAGGCGTTCACCATTTGAACGAAATATGCTTTGGCTTCAGACTCTTTAAATTGCTGTCCATTCTTCGTGAGTCGCGTCTGGAGGTCACCCCCATCTGCCCACTCCATCACTATGTAGGACACATCCAGGGAGTACTTATAGATGTAATGGTCGAACAGTTTTATGATATTCTTGTGTCTACTCTTATACAGTGTGAAGATCTCACGCTTAAACATATCCATCCGATTCTCATCGGCCGACACAGACATGGCTTTAATGACAACGATTGGGTCGGGGATCGTATTCGTTGGCTTCAGATTGTTAGCTCCGTAACTAACGTCGATTACATACATCAGCGGAACGCCATCCGCATCGGCATTATGATCGTCTTGGTTTGGACGGTGGCCGCCATCGTGTCGATCGCCCCTCTCTTCGGATGGAAAGATCCGGATTTCGTGAACAGAATAGAGAACGAGAAACGGTGTCTCCTTTCCCAGGATATCGGGTATCAAATATTTGCCACAATCGCTACCTTTTATGGTCCGCTTGTCTTCATATTAGCGCTCTATTGGAAGATATTTCAGGTATTTATGGGCCAAACGTTTTAATTGTTTTTTACGGTCCAATAGTCCGTCCAAACCATTATTTGCGCACAAATTATTGATACTATTGTTTCGGTGTACTCTATAGTATAAAAACCCATATTATTTGTGGATTTATTGTTTTAAATTTAACATTTAGAAATTGTTGTGTTTACACAAAACTTTATTCGGTATACACTATGAAAAGTTTGTTCAAACAATTTAATTTATTATTGATAATCCGAAGTTTTAAATGCAAAATCCCATTGTATGCTGTCAACTATCATTAGATTATTTAGTATATTATTGTTGTAAGCAAGTTAAGACCAATTTTGAAATATTATTAAAGTTTTAATCATTACTCTAAATATATTAGAAGTGACAGCGAGTTTTGTGTCAAAATCTGTAATTATAATTATAAACGAAATAAAACTAGTGTTTCGCTGGTCCTCACAATTAGTCTAATTAGTGAATGTTATTCTCGAGTGTTGTGTGAAATATCTCATTATTTTAATAGATAAACAATTTCCAAACGTATAGAAAGTTTCCATTGAAATTCCTGCCATTCACTCAAATAGTACAGAATATTCTCTAAGTGGTGGGAAGGGGTCAGTATTCATAGGGATGTTTGGGTGAAATTTCTCCCATTTATTAAAACTCTAATTAGTGTTGAGTGAGAAACTAGTGAACAGTCAGACAGACAGTCGACAGTTCCTTATGAGTGGCATAAATATTGAACAGAAATAGTAGTCAAACACAAAACTATAATAACATTTACGCCGAAAGACATAATTAGGACTGACTTATGAACTTATGATTTGTGTACTATTTTTGTCTACAAATTATCTAGCTTATTATTCAGTGTTTGTGTTGATATGATTAATACTGAATGTTATTAATAATAATTTATAACTTATTATAATGTATAATAAAAATATGATAATAAACAGAATATTCTGTAAAACATTAATTCTCATAGAATTTGGTTTGATATGGTTTTTGACCCATAGGTGGCCAGAAAACGGATCCGTCGTAAGCCGGGTAAACTGGTAGTACCGGTTAGTAACCTACAAACCCCCCGGACATTAGCGCCGATAATTCTCATAGAATTTGGTTTGATATGGTTTTTGACCCATAGGTGGCCAGAAAACGGATCCGTCGTAAGCCGGGTAAACTGGTAGTACCGGTTAGTAACCTACAAACCCCCCGGACATTAGCGCCGAGTCCTTCATCGCAAAACATAAACAGCATTAACGACGATATGAACACAACTATGGATGAGTTGACAGAAACACAGTTCAGACAAAATAACGACAAAGAAATACAGTTAAGGCAAATGCAGCACAACTTAAGCCCCAACAGAATGGCTACACAACTGGCCACTAATGGCTCGAATAATAATCCCAATCCGACCTCCAGTTCCAATCATAAAATCAGCTCAAATCAGACCATTAATGCCGTTAAGACGCCGCACAAGAAGCCGACTAATAAGGAGTCGTTAGAGTCGAAAAGGGAGAGAAAAGCGGCCAAAACGCTGGCCATAATCACAGGTACGTCGAGATTAAAGGATCCTGAAGTTTTTTATTAACCTTATTTAATGGTGGGAACGGTAGGTGTGTTTGTGATGTGTTGGGCGCCGTTTTTCGTGTTGGCGGTACTGATGCCTATATTCCCGCAAATGGAGCCAAACAAATATGTGTTTGCCATATTTTTATGGTTAGGATATCTCAACTCGTTGCTTAATCCAATCATTTATACCATATTTAGGTACGGCCGGAAAGTATATCCGCTTTTTTATTGTGCATCAAAATCAAGCGTTTCTTACGAAAAATGTTTATTAAAAAACTTTTTCCTCTTTTCTTCTTATGTCGTAATTTTAGTCCGGATTTCCGGAACGGATTCCGAAGGATATTATGCGGCAAACGGTATGCCAACCGACGCGGCAATCGATAGTTATGTTTGCCGTTCAACTCAATTATCAAATCAAATAAAAACGAAACGTCTTTCCATTTATTAACTATTTAAGTGTCATATCTTATACTAATGTATACTTATAGTCATTAATATATAAATATAAATATAAATACGTTAATATATTTGTTTAATAATTGATAAATTTTATTCGACGTTTTCCATTGCAAACATTATGTAATAAATATTATACACTTATATATAATATATATATTTATTATATAATGTTAACACATTCTGTAAATAATGCAAACTATTGAAACAAACAAAAAACTAATAAATATGTAAATTACTTGTTAATATTTATTGTAAGATAATTATTAATTTTCAATAATTTTCATTTAATCAAGTTATCAAATAGTTATCAAATACTGTTTAGATTTATAATAAAAATTCTAATGATTTCTAAACTTGTAACTAAAGTTGTTATAAATAAAATATAATATGAATTTATAATATTTCACATTACATTAAATTAATTATTACGGTATAATAATTTTGTATTAAACCTATCAAAGCATTCATAAATATTTTATCAAATCTTATTTTATTACATATTTAATGAATAAGTAGTAAGTATTCTATGCATTAATTATTTAATTATATTCCTTATTTAGTTTGCCCTAACATTGCCCTGTTAAAATATGGGTTGGTAAATATTTGGATACTGTAATATAATTCAATGTCTTATAAAAAATTATTCATTAAAACTATAGTAATAGATATGCCTCTGCTATGATACAATAATTAGTTTTTTATTTTTAGCTCTTTTGTGGTTTTTTATTGTTTACGTTAAGCACTAATTCAATAACTAAATGCTAATAATAGACTATAATTATGTCTAGTCTACAAACACGAGACAATTATGATCTGACAATGAATTGCATAACAAAAGTTGAATTTAATCTCAAATTCTAAACAAGTTTCTAATAAACGGTCAAATTCTTGACAATCACTGATAGATCGCATAGAATACCATTAAATTAAATTCATATATAAATTTTAGACAATTCCAGACATATAATAATAAATTATTATTATTATTATTAATCCATTTGAGATATAAGTGACAGAATCTACGGGAATGGGGAATATATTGAAGTGTTTATTGGAGACAATATGTTGTTGTTGTGTGCGCTCACCCAAGAGGCCACGAAAGCGGAGGTCACGTACAAAAAAGCGAAGACATGAGTCCGTGGAACCCATTGAAGGCAAATGGGAGGACAGACCCACATATAAGGCTAATCTGGCAAATATTCCCAACGAAGTGCTCACAACATATATACCTCCAAATCCAGACATTGAATCCGAAGACATAAAACGCGAAAACTTTATGAATAATTTTGACAAACTAGTGCTCAAAGGGATCAACTTTGATATCTTTGAAAAGTTAGGCAAAGGAAAGTATGGAGTCGTCTATAAGGCTAACAATCTGAAGCCAACGAATACGATCCCCGACCCAATCGTTGTCATTAAAGCCATGTCTGTGTCGGCCGATGAGAATCGGATGGATATGTTTAAGCGTGAGATCTTCACACTGTATAAGAGTA